TCCCGGGCCCCGGCGGCCCGAGACCCTGCTAGGCTGCGGCGGCATGGCCCGCGCGCCCGGCGCGACCTCTGCGGATTGCATCGGTGTGCGGCGGCGGGGCATGCCCAGGGCACCGGGCGCGGCCTTCAATGGGCGAGGACACGGACACGCGGAAAATTAACCACAGCTTCCTGCGGGACCACAGCTATGTGACAGAAGGTAACGTACGTGTTGTCTGAGACCCCCTCCGGCCGGCCGCGGCGTGGGGATGCCGTCGCACCGAATGCCCTCCGAAGGTTTGGACCGCGCGCTGTGTGTCGTGTCCCCCCAACCCCCACCCCGACCCCGGGCCGGGAGGGAGGGAACCCGGGGGCTTCGGCCGCTGCCCAGCGCCCTCCTCCGTGCCGCCCACGGGAACGCATCTGTCCTTCCCCCGCCGGGTGGCACTGGATCGGGCCCTGACTATCATTTACAAAGCCCAAGGCTGCAGCAGATCTAGTGTGGAAATCTCCAGGACCTGGAAAGGCTTAAAAATCCTTCATTTGCCCTTTCAGCCGAGCCAAAGCTCGCAGAAATTTCTAGATTGCCCACTCCCTGGAGAGGGACCCAGGAGGGAAAAATTCCATTGCCAGATCCTCTAGGGTTCAGCTGCCCTGGCACCTCCCTGGCCTCCAGAGGCAGGTTCCCTGCGTGGGAGGGGGAAGGAGGCTCGTAGGGGCTACTGTTTTATTCCTGGGTAGTGCTACTGAGACAGGAGCTGGGCCAGACCTTCATGGTTTTCCGGAAAAGTGGGGCATGCTCCCCCAAACAGGCTCTGCGTTTAAAACCCCCTAAGTTGGCCCTGTGCGTCAACCCCCACCAAAGGCTGGTGGGATGCAGAGGATCGGTGTCCTTTGCTAATGTGACAGTAACTTCCGGAGTCCCCAGGCCCTGACTGGCCACAGGAACGGTGGGGACAGCTCCAGCGCGCAGCCAGGGGCCTGAGAAGTAATTGGGCTACAGTGAGGGAGTGCCAGATCTGGCCACAGCAGCCCGCCGCCGGCACGCGGGTGCTGGAGACTATCCCCGGCAGTGTAGGCGCCTCTTCCCCGGGGTGCCGGCCTGGTGGAGAGAGTGTCCAGGGTTTAAGCTGGCGGCTGACCCGGTGGGAGGGGCCCTGGCACTGAGTCCCGGGGGCCGGCGCGCTGGGTGCCTGCTCCAAGGAACCTGCGTGGGCACGGCCTCCCCAGTGCCGAGCTCCGCCGGAAATGAGGCGGGCGCGGCGTCTCCCGGCGGGCGTTCGGACCCCGGAGGCAGAGGCTAGGTGTGCGACCCGGGCGTGCGGATGCTGATGCTGAGAGCGGCACTCCGCGCGCTGAGGAGAACCGCTGAGTCACGCGTTGCCGCGGGGTGTGCGGGGAGAGGGGGCAGGTTTGCCAGGCCCGGGCTGGGTGGCGGCGCTGCCCTAACGGGGCTTTGGAAGGCTCCTGGCGCAGAACTCAGCCCTTTGTCGCCCGCTGGGTGATGCGGAGGAGGGTCGCGCTTCGTGAAGATGATTATCTGCTCACAGCCTGCCTAGCGGCAGAAGGCAGCCTGCGTGACTGGTCGGCTGCGGAGCTTCTTGGCAGGGAGTCGTGTGCAGGGCCAGTGTTGCTCTGGCTTTCTAGGGGAAAGCCTCAGTTTCCTTATCTGCACACTGGGAACGATCCAGTGGGCCTCAGAGCTTATGTGTACCAAACAAAATGCATACTGCCCACCTCACAGGCAGACAACTCAAAAGTGTTGCTCCCATCCGTATCCTACTTTCTCTTCTTTAGTAAACCCACCCCAGCAAGGTTCACAGGAGGAAGTACCTTCATGGTTCAGTGGCTGCTACTTCTATCCGGTGCACCTTCAGATTCCAACGCTGGGGTTTGATGGAGGTCCCTTGTCCTCATTCATTCTGTGCTGTAGCAAAGAGCCCTGTGACCTGTGGGGAGGTCGTTTTTCATATGCCTCAGTTTCCCTATTTGTACAATGGGAGGAAACAAGCCCACCCCCCTTTCGTTGAGACTCTGAGAAATCGAGGATCTTCGCCCTGTAGAGGTGATTGGCAGCTATATGTGTTGAGAACCTACTGTGTCCTAGCATTTCACGTAGGGGCTGGTAGAAAGTCTCCTCATGGGCCCTGGGCAGTGAGGAGTGTGTGTGGGACACAGGACTCAGATGCTTCTACCCTTTAGGGATGTAGAAAAATAACATCGAGTGACACTCCCTTAGGATCTAACTGGAAGGAGTTAGGGATTTTGATCTCCCTAATAAAGGTCTCCCATACACACTCTCCCCACCCCAGTCACACTATAGCATCCTGATGGATTTACATTCTGACTTCAAGGTCACAGATTTGTCACCCAGTCTACAGAGTTTTGTACAGGTTCTACTTATGGCTCTCAACTTGCTCAGCCTCCCTAGATGAGTCACTGGGCTTCATTTGGCTTCTCTGTAAAGGGAGGAGTCACAGTGGCCTCTAGCTCGGGATTGTTGAGATGACCATGGCCCCGAGAGTGTAAAATGCTCTCAGAAAGGATTGGGCTTCCTGGAGGCACTTGATAAATGTCACTAGTGTCGTCATGTCCTAGGGACTCACTTTGAAAAAGACCTAGGTGTATGCCCTCCCATCCCCCCTGGAGGTAGGTTCCTTGCTCACGGATGCACTCCAGCTTTGTCTTTTACTGCTATCCTTAAGCTAGCCATTTTCTTCCTGACGCTGGGTCGTTTTTTCAATGACTTTCTCTTCTCTCCGAGACACCCTACCCCTTCTGAAGACCAACTCCTACAATTCCCAGTTCAGTGTCATCTTTTTGCCCCGAGTCTCTTCGCAAATCTTAAATATCCTCAGAACAGTTTGAGTTCTGTTCACACTGTGGTGGTTTGAATGAGAACGGCCCTAGAGGCTCCTGTATTTGAACCCTTAGTAACCCAGAGTGGATCTGTATAATAGGATTGGAAGGATTAGGAGGTGTGATCTTGTTGGTGGAAGTGTGTCACTGGGGGTGGGCTTTGGGATTTCAAAGGCCCATGCCAGACTCAGTCTCCATCTCTCTGCCTGGCGATCAGGATGTAGAATGCTCAGTTATTTCTCCAGCACCATGGCTGCCATGCCTGCTGCCATGCTCCCCGCCACCCACTACTGGACTAAGCAAGCCATTGAAACTGTGAGCTTTCTTCTATAAGAGGTGCCATGGTCATGATGTCTCCTGACGGCAATAGAGCAGTGACTGAGAGGTTGGTTCCAGGGAGCGAGTCTTGCTGTGACTGGCTTCACCATGCTGTCTGTTGGAGGAAAATGGAAGACTCTGGGATTTTGCACTGGAAAAAACGGTTGAACAGTTTAAGCAGGGCCTAACTGGTCATCCTAGTATAAGTAGGGAAGACAATGCTGAGGGCAGTTTGAACTGTGGGGCCCAGTTCGAGAGGTTTCAGAGGGGAAGAATACTATTAGTAAGTGGCCTAGAGACCGTTCTTGTGCTATTTTGGCAAACAATGTAGCTGCTCTTTGCTCTTGTCCGAAAAGTCTGTCTGAAGCCAAATTGAATCTTTTTTTGTAAAATTTTTGATTAATGGTGTTAGCAGAGGAAATTTCAAGACAGCCTTGTATTGACTCTGTTGTGTGGTTATCAGTAATCACTCTTACGCAGATTGGTCATGAGAAGGAGCAAGCTGGACAAAGATAAATACAAAATGTACAGTTGGAAGAGAAAAGGAGCACCAGGAAGTGGAATGGAGCTAAATCCAGTGCTCAAGGAGATAAAAACATATTTAGAGAAAAGTCTGATGTTAAATGGAACAAAAGGGGGTGGTAACCTCAGGGCAAGACCCACCTAGCTAAGGTTCCAGCTTGTGAAAAGGAATCAAAGAAAAGCTTACACTCAGAAGGAAACCATGTACAACAGAAAGCAGATGCAGGTGTAATCGAATAAGGGGAGCAAGTTCCAGCCCCATCAAATGGCAGAGCCTGGGAGCTCCAGCCACTGGCTCCGGCTTTAGAGTCACAAGGAAAGGGTTGTAGGATGTCTCTCCATGGCTAAGGAAAGCTACTGAGGCCAGGCATGCATCAGGGGTGTCACCAAGTGGAAGCCCAGAAAGGCCATTGTATGACGCTGTGAATGTGAAGCCTAGATCGCCTTGGAAACCCCAAGATGTTGGAGATGCCAGAGTCATGGGATGCCTGCTGAGAAAAGCTGCAGCCCAGGTGTGGAGCCAGCCCAAGGGAGAGAAGTGTGTTGCAGTCAACACAGCTTGAGGGAGCTTAAGTTCTGAGGAGTGCTTTGACAATGGACATGGAGATGCAGCGTCAGGGGTTTGCATTTGTGATTTTAGTACTTGCTTTGGTCTAGCATTTCTTTGTCATGCCATCTTTCCTCCATTTGGAACGGATGATCTGCCTACACAGAGACATTTCCCTATATTGTACTAGTATTTGTCTCAGCTCTTTTGCTACCCTAAGGTGTGCCTGTTGCCCAGAGATATGAAAAGAGGGCATTGGATCTTCTGGAACTGGAGTTACAGCCACTTTATGGGTTCTGGAAATTGAACCCAGGTCCTCTAGAAGAACGGCAAGTGCTCTTAACTTATGAGGCGTTGCTCCAGTCCCATAGTTATTTCTTTGGGGGGTGCAGGATGGGATCTTCCACTGAACCCAGAGCTTATTGTTAGGGCTGGCTGACTTGCCAGTGAGCACTAGGGATCCACCTCTCTCTGCTCCCCCGTTGTGGTAACTTGTGTGTCTGTGTGTACGTGCATGTTGAGCTCTCATGTACATGCCGGAGCTTGAACTCTCACCTTCATGTTTGGATGTCACACACTCTGCTGACTTAATATAGGAGCTAGGAAGATGATTCCATTTTCCCCTAATTCTGGAGATCCTTTTTTTTTTTTTTTGGTTTTTTTCGAGACAGGGTTTCTCTGTGTAGCCCTGGCTGTCCTGGAACTCACTCTGTAGACCAGGCTGGCCTCGAACTCTCGAACTCAGAGATCCACCTGCCTCTGCCTCCCAAGTGCTGGGATTAAAGGCGTGCGCCACCACCGCCCGGCAATTCTGGAGATCCTTATAAGTCTGGAGTAGAGGTCCCAGACACTCCCAGCTTGGGTACCTTGTACTGAGAACTCTCTCCAGACAACCTGATGCCATGACTTCCTTTATTGTCTTTGGGTCAGCCTGACTCACAAGCTGCAGAGATGAAAACTCAGAGCTTCGTGTT